AAAAAAAAAAAAAAAAAAGAATTTAGGCAATTTAACTACTTCTAATTGTGTTAAGAGAGACTCAAAAACAGAAACATGGTAGATAAATTTCATTTTTCATTCTGTTCTCTTTTCACCCTTTTTTTAGGTTACTCGGAGAGGGCGATGCTTTCCTATGAATTGGAAGACGGGCTGTACACTGCTGGTCCATATTTCTTTGCCAAGGTGATTGAAGGGCCCCCAGGGCAGGAGGCAGGGTACAGCAGGCACCGTCACAGGGAAATGTTTTGCTGAGCCACGGGGCTATGTGTCACCTTTGGTTGTAGATGCCACATTTCTTTCTTTCTTTTTTTTTGTAGAGACAGAGTCTGACTTTGTCGCCCTTGGTAGAGTGCCGTGGCATCACACAGCTCACAGCAACCTCCAACTCCTGGGCTTAGGCAATTCTCTTGCCTCAGCCGCCCAAGTAGCAGGTGCCGCCACAAAGCCTGGCTATTTTTTGTTGTAGTTTGACCAGGGCTGGGTTTGAACCTACCACCCTCAGTATATGGGGCCGGCACCCTGCCCACTGAGCCACAGGTGCCGCCCAATGCCACATTTTCTAAGGGAGTTTCAGAGACTTGATATTTTTTAAACATTTATCAAAAGACCAGGACTAGAGATCAGGAATGATACTTTTCTTATCAGCAGGGGCCTAGAAAAGAAACATCCAGCGTACTTTACCTCCCCAGAGCTTCACTGGCCCCCCTTGGCTCTGCCAAGACCACACAGTTACAGGTCTGGTCAGAAGGGGTGGGCACTTGAAACCAGGTCTTAGAAGAGCAGGTGCCCTCTGCCTCCTTGGAGAAAGAGGCTGAACTGCCCCAGCCAGCAGTGAGCTCATGCCTGTGGGTCCTGTATGCTCATGCCTGCTGCAACAACACGTGCAAGGGATTGTCACCAGAAGGGAGGGTTGGTGTCACAGGGTGTTGCTGCCTTTGAACATTGTAAAACAATGGCAAGTCAAGGTGTTGGCTAGACCTTCTTGCAAGGGCTATTCTCTGCAGATCCTCGGGGAGCTCCCGGAGCACTGCGTCTACATCATCATCTACGGGATGCCCATCTACTGGCTGGCTGACCTGCGGCCGGGCGCTGAGCCCTTCCTGCTGCACTTCCTGCTGCTGTGGCTGGTGGTCTTCTGCTGCAGAGTCATGGCCTTGGCCACCGCAGCCCTGTTCCCCAACTTCCACATGGCCTCCTTCTTCAGCAATGCTATTTACAACTCCTTCTACCTCACCGGGGGTTTCATGATAAGCTTAAGCAACTTGTGGATAGGTGAGGCCTGCTCCCTCTCACCTGGTCAAGCATTTTTAGGCCTCGTGAGGCTGGATTAAGCCTGCCTTTTTCTGGAAGTGAAAATTCATCATTTAGATCCAACTTAGAGCTGGCCCTTCTGCAAGCAGATGCCTTTGCCAGCTCACTGTAGGGCCCAGGGGATGATTCCACGAGAGGATACAGAGGCACCTTCCATGTCCCAGTGTCTTGCCTATATCTCAAGGAAAGATAGCACCTCCTGGATGCCTCGGTGCTGATTTTAGAAAAAGAATATTCTGTTCTTGGCTTGGCGCCTGTGGCTCAAGTGGCTAAGGCGCCAGCCACATATACCTGAGGTGGCGGGTTCGAATCCAGCCCCGGACCCTCCAAACAACAACATTCACCAGTGAGCTGGTCAATTCTGCCTCTTAAGTCTTTCCGAAATATCCCCTTGGCACTGTCTCCAGCCCTTGTCTCATCATTTGCACCTGAGCCACTGCAACAGTCTGATCTCTGTGGCCTCAGTCCTTCCACATCCCTCTCAGCTCCCAGCCATGCATAGCGAGTTTTCTAAAGTGCAAATCCATGTCCCTGCTTTGTCCAAACCTCCCCTAGTACACCCCTTCCTCTCACCCCTGAGCCTGTCCCACTTTCCTCTCTGGGAAGCTCCTGTCTCATGGCTTCTGCCCTACTCCTGTACCAGGACAGACTCCAGCTTCTCTGGCTTGGGGTCCCCTCACCCCATTTGATCTATTAACCTGAGTGCATGCAGGGACACCTAATTCAGTGACTTCCTAGACTTGTTATTAGACTGCGGGTGACCCTGTAGCCTCTGAGTTCCCTCCGCTCCAGTGGATGTCCCCAGTTGCCTCTTTGCCCTCTCTTCCTTCCTTGCTCCTCAGAGGACTTGCTTCCCTGGGACAGAGCCACCATGGCCCTGCCCCCATAGACGGGCACGTGTCCCAGGAAGCTGCCAGTGTCCTTGTGCAAGGGGATGAGACCTTGTGAATAACGTGGCTCTCACTGTCCTCAGTGCCTAGATGGATTTCCAAGGTGTCCTTCATGCGATGGTGCTTTGAAGGGCTGATGATTATCCAGTTTAGCGGGAACACTCATAGCATGCAGCTGGGCAACCACACCATCTTGGTCTCAGGAGATACGGTAAGCAGAGAAGGCCTGGGGCTCTAAATCAGCAGACATCCAGCTGAACGTCTTCTTAATGAGCTCCACGAATGTCTGTGTCTCCAGATCCTCAATGCCATGGACCTGAACGAGTACCCCCTCAGTGCCATCTACTTCATCGTCATTGGCATCAGCGGTGGCTTCATGGTCCTGTACTATGTGTCTTTAAGGTTTATCCGACAGAAATCAAGTCAAGACTGGTGATTCATGCCAAGGCTCCTGCCCAGGTGGGGTACCAGAGTGGACCTTGCAACTGCACTCCTTTCCCTGTAGGGTGCCCTTTCTGGGGACAGTGATATACAGATGCTCGGCTACATCTGCCCCACGGTGCTGCAGTGGCACAGATCAACCACAGGATGGCAGTAGAATAAAGACAGTCGGAGGCACTTCTGCTCGCTGGCGGAAACTGGGATTCCTGGGAGCGAGAAAACCTGCATGTGGCGGCACCTACAATGTTGCTAATTTATTTCCTTTTGATAGTATTTATATAGGCAACTCAATATAGGATGGTATACAGGAATTGTTAGAACCCAGAGGAAACAATAATAGCTAGCAAAAGACTAGCTATTATTTGTTCTCCTCTTCAGGGGCCCCAAACTCTGTGGTAAGCCATTTCCATATAGAAAGTGATCTATAGAAGGCCACCCCTGCTTTTTGTGGGGGGTCATGAGCCCCCAAAGCCAAAGAGAACAATTAAAAATTTATTGAGCATCTACTCTGTGACAAGTGCAGTATAAATCACTTTCTGTGGACGCCATCATCTGACTCTCAAAACCACTCTTAGAGGTGAGAAGTATCCCATTTACAAGGTTAGCAAACTGAGACATAAACCAATTCCTTTTGCTAAGGTCACACAGATACTGTGTCGTGGAGTCACGTGGGAGCCAGAAAAGCCTGTGAGGCCTTTAGGAGTTAGAGGGCAGAAGGCAGGACCTGGGCCCCTGTTAGGCTTGGAAGCCCAGTAAGATGAAGGGGTTCAAAAAGGTTCAGCCAGCCTCTTAGAGCTGCATCTGCTCGGCCCTGGCTGCTCTCAGGACCAGCTATGCACCGTTCATAGTAGACAGAGGCTGGGACAGTGCAGGCCTAGGTGGTATACACTCATGCCTCAGTGTTAGGGACCATGTAACCCATGACAGGTGCACAAAGAGCGGGAAGGGATGGTTCCCAAAGGAAAATTAGAGTTGAAACCAAAAGAAGGAGGAAGGTGGGGGTTTGGGAGGCGAACAGCAAACACCCTCCACAGGTTGACCACGCCTGGGCTACCCCAAGTAGGGGCCAGAGGCATGGGCATAGCTGGGAACAGGTAGGACAGCAGGTGCAGGCCCCACTCAGACCCAACAGGTCAGAGCCTGTATTTTAAGAAGATCCCCTGGTGGCTTGTGCACATTCAAGCACACTGTCCTCTTGCAATGCACCATCACGCTCGGTGGCTTGTGCACATTCAAGCACGCTGTCCTCTTGCAATGCACCATCACGCTCAGGGTGGGCACGCGCTGCCCTTCAGTGCGCAGACCCGTCCTCGGGCCTCACTGGGAGCTCTGACAATGTCCTTCATAGCATAGGATCCAGGTCAGGATCAAGCTCTGGGTCTGGTGGTCCTGTTGCTGGTCTCCTTCAGCTGTGAACAAGTCCTCAACTCTCCTAGACTTTCCTGACCTTGACACGTGCAGATTTTGCAGGATATGAGGTCTCCATTTGGGTTTGTCTGGTATTTCTTCATGATTAATTTGGGTCCTGCACCTTTGCAGCACATCTTGTCAGGCAGCACACGGTTTCCACGTGTCCCCACTGACAACCTGTACTTAGATCACTTGTTTAAAGGGGCGTCTGCCAGGCTTCTCCGCAATTACTATTTTCCTTCCCTTTGTCATCAGTAAGCATTTGGTAGGTAACTTTGAAACTATGTAAAGTGCCTGCTTCTCACAAAACTTTCCATTTCTTCATTTTTTTATTTCTATCAATATAAACTTGTAGTTTCCTATTTTATTCAATAGGTTATAATCCTTTACTATCACTTTTTTTTTTTTTTGAGATAGTCTTGCTCTGTTACCCGAGTAGAGTGAGGTGGAGTCGTAGCTCACAGCAACTTAAAACTTCTGGGCTTGAGTGATTCTCTGGCCTCTGCCTCTAGTGTAGGTGGGACTACAGGCTCCTGCCATGATGCACAGCTAATTTTTCTGTTTTTAGTAGAGGCAGAATCTTGCTCTTGGTCAAGGTGGTTATCATTACTAATTTTGATGTTCAAATTGTCCTGATTTGGCCAGTGGGAGTCCCTTAAAGCTGGCTTCTGCATCCTTTTGACATGTCCCCATCATTCTTTGAGGACTTTGTGATACTTTTCTTTCTTTTTTTTTTTTTTTTTTTGCTCCTTTTGGCGGGGGCTGGGTTTGAACTCACCACCTCCCGCATATGGGGCCAGCACCCTACCCCTTTGAGCCTAATTTTCCCACCTCAGCCCTAGAATCAGACATCTTGGTTCTTTTTAGTGAACAATGGTATTTGAAGCCAAGCTCTAAGTGATAAGTACACTCAATGCTGTTGGGGCATCTCTCCTCTCACTCCTCTCAGGGAACAGAGTTGAGGAACATACACAAGACCCCTAACACATATAGGAGTTTACACTGATAACCTCCAACTCCAGTCCCGCATCAGAGTTGAGTCTAGTTTCTCTTTTCATATTTGTAACACTCTTCTCCAGGTATGAGAAACCTGGCTTCCATTATCCTGTCCACATCGACTCACTGGATTAGTTCCCTGCACGCAACCCATCTCCCATCTACACCACGCCTTCCCTCACCCAGCGTGGGCTCTAACTTCCTTGCTGCCCCCCTCACCGGGCTCTGGCCCATCGTAGCTCCCTTCTGGCCACTGTGGTCACCTAATAGCATTGGGCTTGAATGAAGGAGAAGTGGGCAGGAGAAAGAGGATGCTGATTGATATATATATATATGTGTATATATATATATATATTTTTTTTTTTAACTCCCCAAAGGATTCTAATGTGTAATGAGGTTGATAGCCATTAAGATACATCACCTGACTTTTGTGAAGTCCACAAAAGGCTTCAGTGGGCTCTGTGTGCTGGGCTGCAGGTAAGGGGCAAGGGGCAAAGGCAGGAGAGACAGTGAACCAGCACCTGCCTTTTCTTTTCTTTTTTTGGTACAGTTTTGGCCCAGCCCGGGCTTGAACCCACCACCCTGGTATATGGGGTCAGCGCCCTACTCCTTGAGGCACAGGCACTGCCCGACCAGCACCTGCCTTTTCTTTGTGTTTTTTCTGGAATAATGGTTCTCCACCCTGGCTGCCCACACAAGAGCTTTAACAAAGGCCAGTGGGGACCCACCCCTCCAGAGATTCTGATTCCACAGGTCCATTTGTTTAAAAACGCTGTCCAAGGTGTGTGAGGTTAGGGGTTCCAAAAGCATGCATGTAGTTCAAGGAACCCCACTCTGCTTTGCGGGACAGGGATTTGCTTACTTGTAGTCATCAGATGCATGGGTTACAATCTTTCCTACTACAAGTCAGGTAGTAAACATTTTAGATTTTGCAGGCCTTACACGTTCTGTCCAAATTACTTAACTCTGCTATTATGGTGTAAAACCAGCTGCAGACAACTGTAAAGTGTGAGTGGTGTTGCTGCGTTCCAATAAAATATTATTTACAAAAGCAGGCAGCTTGTTGGATTAGCCTGAGGCTGTAGTTTGCAGACCCTGGATCAAAAGGTAAAGGTTCTGAAATTTGCATTTTAAGCCCTCCAATTTCAAGTTATACTATTGATGGAGAATTTTAATTAAACAGAGGACAATTACCTATATTGACTCAAATATTTCCTGATGTGAGTTTTTAAAAACTGCCCTTGTTCCTATTATAGAATATAATAGACGTAATCTTGTCCTGGGTTAAGCCAGCCTACAGACTTAGATCTCACACTTGCTTTTGTTTCCTTTTCTTCTAGTTTTCTTCAGTTCTTGTCTTAATCTCAAATGTCAAATTCAAGTGTTAAAAGTCCTGGGGCCAAGGGTTCTCACCTCAGCACAGCCTGCAAACCACTTTGCTTTGAGCCTGACTGAGGTGAGCAAGGGACTGGAATGCAAGGAAAGGGATGAAACATTCTGTTGGTTGACCTGTGCTTATTTGGAAAATATTATCTAATGCTCATTCCTGTAAGGCAACAAACATCCTTATTTGCAAATACAGTAGAGCCTCCATAGTTGACCAGCTCCCTACCTTGACCACCTCCTTAAATTGACCTAATTTTCATAGCGTGGACATGAGCCACATATACATAATAATACAGTAGGCCGATTCCTTATGTTGACCATCTCTGTATGTTGACCAGTTTGTTACAGTCTCTTGCATGGTCAACTTACAGAGGTTCTACTGTAGTCTGAACTAGGTAATTCAAATCTCAAGTTATATCATCCGTACTCGGTAATGATTGATTCTTCATTTAAAGTTGCTGAGTATGGAGCGGTCCTTGTCCACATTACATGGACTGTGCCTGAAGTGTGGGCAAGGGAGGCCGGCAGGCAGATGGAGCATAGCTCACCACGGCAATGCACATGGTGTTAGCAGCTAATAATTAAAACAATGGTTAAGCAGTGAAATTTTCAAACACATAACAACTCAGTAACACTTCTCTGCTTTCTCTGTAATAGTGCTCATTTATCGTTTGTGTGACTGTCATCTGTCAAACTGTATGTATTTGTGTTTCCCCAAATAAGCACATTAGTGCTTCCCTAATAAGCACTATTGTCCCATGCTAACAATAAAGCCCTTTCTTTTTGTTGATTCCACTATTGCACAGAATCCTTCACTGTGCTTGAACCCAGTTTGAGGTTGTCTTTTAATAACACATTTGAGAGGCCTCCTCTTCCTTGTGACAGTGAATTTGAAAATGTTTTTATGAGTGCTCCCGGGTTTGGAAGAACTCAAGCCCAATGCTGCAACTTGGAGCTATGCACAGTTAAAAGCTAGAAATCATGTGTGAAGACCAGCATGTGAGAGGAAACCCTCCCATGGAACAAACCACACATCTCAGAAAGAGCATCCTTGGGCGGCACCTATGGCTCAAAGGAGTAGGGTGCCAGCTCCATATGCTGGAGGTGGTGGGGTCAAACTCAGCCACAGCCAAAAAATAAAAAAAAAAAGATAGAAAAAGAAAGAGCATCCCTTGGCAAAGGGGAAGGACAGGAGGTCGAGCCCATTGATATGGTTATTGATGCTCACTGGGCACCCACTGGACTCTCACTGATAGCTCTGCAGAGGGCTGGGAGAGCTCCCATGAAGGGAACAGACAAAAACAAGTCCATAATGAGAACGAACGTCACAGCAAGCGCTCTTTCAGGGGCCCAGCTGGTGAAGATGCTATTTTCGAAAACTAAGGATGGATCTTGCAGCCAACCATTGTCCAAACAAATGTGCCAGAGCAGTGAGTCTGAAGCTGGTTAAATGCTTTTGCTCTACCTGGACCTGATTTTCTTTCTTCCCCTTCATGCAATAAAGAAAAAGATAAGTGCCTATTTTCAAATTGCTAATGCAGCCATTTTCTTTATTTGTACTGAGGCTGCATAATGTGGGCTTTGTAAAGTCCACAGGCCTGAAAGCAGGTTACATTTCTAATGGAAACACTCCCATGCCTGATTGTACAACAGCAAAAGAGACAAATTACCGTGATTTTTGTACCCCCCGCAGCTATTAGTTCGGTCAGACTTCAGGAATGTTGCTTTCACTTATAGAAATTCTACAAATATTGGTTTATCAGGACAAATATATGAAAATTGTGCTCAAAGACATGAGAAAAAGTATGTGGAATACACACACTGCAGACTTGAAAAATAAATTGTACCAGGAAGAACAATTTATAAGATAGAGCTTGCTTAGTCATTTGTGAGAACGTGTAAACTCAGGGATCATGCCAGGGACTGTGTATTTGATTAAATGAGAAAAAAATGTCCTTACCGTGTGCAGGTGTCCTCAAACTACGGCCCGTGGGCCACATGCAGCCCGCCTAGGACATTTATCCGGCCTGCTGGGTATTCTTGCCGCTGCTGCCTGTCCTGCTTAGCAGCCGACTTGTCCTGGGGCCCGCAGTCCAGCCCTCCAACGGTCTGAGGGACAGTGAATTAATTGGCCCCGTTTAAAAAGTTTGAGGACCCCTAGTGTAAGGTATCCAGAAACTGGGAACACTGGCATTAAAGTTTCTTTTTTTTTCAAATAAAATATTTTGCCAGGTGCAGTGGCTCACACCAGTAATCCCAGCACATGGGAGGCCAAGGCAGGTGGATTGCTTGAGCTCACGAGTTTGAGACCAGCCTAAGCAAGAGCCAAGACCCAGTCTCTAAAAAGAGCCAGGCATTGTGATGGGTGCCTGTAGTCCCAGCCACTTGGGAGACCGAGGCAAGAGAATCAATTGAGCCCAAGAGTTGAAGGTTGCTGTGAGCTGTGATGCCACGGCATTCTACCGAGGGTGACATAGTGAGACTCTGTCTCTCAAAACAAATAAATATACAAATAAATGAATAAATAAAATATTCCTACAGTTTAGATTCCAGTGACTTTGAACTGACTTTTCCCTGGTTTGTCTGGGTCTTATATTCTGATCGGGAGTAAACGACTTTAGTCAGAATCCTAGCCATGTTATTCACCACTGTGGCTCTGGGCAGATTCACTTCTGTAAGTCTGTTTCCTCTCCACGAGTATCAAGCAAAACGGGGGCCTGACACACTGCAGTAGGTGCACAGTGTTAAGCACACAGAACCCACCACCAGACAACTTGATTACGTGAGCCTGCAGCTGAGATCATGCTAGGTGGGGAGGATGCAGACCCAAGCCTTCAGGAGTCCACCTCTGGCACCTGCTGTGCTGAAGTGGTTATGGGACCCCTGAAGAGGGAACAATATGCTAGGCGGGGTGATGGGCTCAAGAAAGTGGCAGAGTATTGATGGCGACCTCAGTGAGCATTCCTGAAAAGTAAGGTGAAGACGGGCTGTGCGTGGAGTGGACGGATCCCAGCCATCTACAGAGATGGGAAACACGCTCGGACATGCAATGCAAGATAAACCCCTCCCATTTAGTGCCGATTAAACACACACTCAAAGTCTAATTCTTGCCAACTTTGTTCCCTCAATCTCAGATACCTGCTAACCCTTAAAACAGAGAAGCAGTGACTTCACTGGGGCTCTCTACATACAAACTATAAGCCATTTAACAAGTAGATTCTGGCCACAACGGAGGTCACCACACACTTTAAAAATTTTAAGACTGAAGTCCTTTGAAATGGCTTAAAGCACTCATGCAAACATTTGACAACACGAAAAGGATGCAGCCCACAGACATCTGGAGTACACTTTATTCAAAGCATTTCACCTTAAAATTATATTAGGTTCAAATAATAAACATTAATTATATATAAAATATTATTCTTTCCCAAAGTTTACAATGACACAATTTACTTTTCACAACTAGCTGTTTGCTTATGAGTCTAAACATACTATAGAGAATTTCTACAATTTTATTTACTGTGTATTTCTTTTATTTCAACTTTGCTATTAGATATTTAGAAAGTATTCATAGCTCACCTAGAATACATAATTATTACACTTTAAGTATTTACATTCATAAGGAAAACCAATACAGTGCTACAAACATTTGACTAAGTAAAGTCCTTTGTTAACACATTTTAATGGCCCTGCCTGTTGTCCAGAATCCGAGACGAGGGGGTTTTGGCAATTTCCTCTGTACCACATCCACATTTTGAGTCCACATACAGGGCCAACTTGGAGTCACTTCAAGCAAATCAGACTGTACTTCCAGTTTCCCCCAAGATGACTATGAAGCCCAGATTATACCTCACCTTAGAGACCTATTTTAATGAATGTCAATAAAACTTAGCTCACTTAACCTGTGATTAGCAATGACTGTACAAAATAAGGCCTGTGTCAATGGAATCACTAAAGACAGGTGCACAAGGACGAGGCTCCAGGCAAATTAGACAACAGCAAAACAGTAACATGTACAAGTCCTGCACCTGGGAGCACAAAAGGAAGCGCCACTGTGTCCTCGGCTGGGACTCGGCCCTGATTGAGCCTCCTGTTCCTGATGTCAGTAAAGCCCAGCTCATATCACGACTATGACGGCTTTGACTCCTTGGCTTCCCTCCATCAACCCTTCCTCTCTCGCCATCTGCAGACAGGCACCAGACACAGAAGAGCTGGTCCCCCAAATCAGGATGGACAGCCCCGTGGGCCAGAGGCCTGCCTGCTCCCCAAGGCAAGACTGCCCCTTGATGTGATGAACAGAAACCAGTTGGCAACAAAACCCAAACAGTAGGCAGTTGCCATATTTAAGGTGGGCACAGAATATTCCCAAATGGGGGTAACTTGCAAAACATTTTCAACATTTTTGGTAATCAATTACCGCATCCTCAAATAGGTCAATATTCCATACTAAGATATCTTAATAATGGTAAACTGCCTTAACTATGTTAAATCGTTTCTTTAAGTAACCACTTACAATGTAGATATTAACAGGTACAACGGCTAATATGGGGATAACTTTTAGTTTTCAAAAATTCGACCCTTCATATATGAAATCACATATTACCAGGACATGAGTAACAAGCCTCGAGGAGGATAGACCTCGGGCTGACAAAGCCCTGAAACCAAAAAGAGGAAATGCACAGTAGAAAATGACCTACTTTCTAGGTCACAATCAAGACTCAACTGCAGAGATTCCCACGAGCAGACGCACAGAAGCCAGCAAGGCCAAAGTGAGGGAAGGGCAAGCACGCCGCAGAGCCGGTGGACATCGCCAACACTGCCCTGACCAAGGGTGAACCGCAGTCTCTTTGGGTCTCTGCTTCTTACTGAAAAACGATGATGACTAGATTGGATCACTCTTAGTGCCCATGTTTTACAAAATTTGAAAAGTACGCAGGAGTTCACACACCTAAGAGACTGTTACATCACCGAACATGAGGGATTAGAAAGCTCAGTGAGCATCATTTATTTATCTAGCTCCAAAATTTTTACGATCAGCACTAACAAGCAAGTCTTAAATAAAGGAATAACATTTTAATGAAAATAATAAACAAAATAGAGCAGAGAAACTAAAGAGTCAATTGGGGGGAGAACCCTGAAAAAATAGTTTCATATAACACAAGCATTAAAGAAAATGGTACAGGCTGGGCACAGTGGCTCGCATCTGTAATCCCAGCACTTTAGGTCAAAAGTTTGAAATCAGCCTGGGTAGCAAGTGAGACCCCCGTCTCCACAAAGAAAGAAAGAAAATGCTATACATTTATGTCATAGAAAGAAACAAAAAAGTCCAATGACCAAGTATACACAAATATTGTCAATAAGATGTTCAACACAGGTGACAAAAGTATATAAACAAAGTTCTTTATTATTTATTTTTTCTCTCTCAAATACATTTAAAAATAACAGGTAGACAATCCCAATACACAGAAAACAAAAAGGTGCCTGCATATTTCATGAAGAGATTTCCTTCGATCCTTTTAGCTGTTCTGCATAATATGCAAAGCTTTCCTGTTAAGGAGAAAGAGGAGGGGAAGTTACAGCTAAAGTTGCCAGTAGGAGGTGATGGTACAAAACTTAAAAATCGTAAAGGACTACAAGATGGTAGCTACCACCGCTGGACCCATTATAGACGCCGCCCCTCAAACTTTCTTGTTTCATGAAATTACAAGTTAATGGCTCCAAGTTCAGGGTTAAAGCGAGCAGCAAGAATCTGCTGGGTGCGTGTATACATGTGTGTATGCAGGTATTTAACACCTGTGGAAGGGTGCAGCGTTTCAAACATGGTGCAGTGACTTTCAGTTCAATGACACAATAAAAAGGAACTTTGCATATGTGACTTCTTGTATTAAAGAAAACAAAATTTCCTACACAAAGAAATAAAAAACTATTTAAAATGAACAAGTAATTAACAGTGACATCATAAGTGTGGCTACTGCAATACAGGCCATTAAATCCTGTTTCAAGTTGAAATGTCCTAAGGACATTTGATAAATTCATACCTATAGCTGAAGGCCTGAGATAGACCTTGTGTTTTATTTAAACCTCAGCCCCGGAGAGCGATGTTCTCCCATAGCCACAGCCGAGGCTGCTCAGTCCCTGCAGCCCTCCCTGGGGGATTCTTCACAGAGATCTAATCCTCATGTAATTAAGTCTCCAACTTATTTTTTTCAACATTGTTATGAAGCATACATAAATCTGTAGAGGCATTTTCCCCCTTAATTAAGAAATACTCACAGGGGGCTCAGTGAAAGGGAGAGGCTCTCCAGCATCCTTCAGCAACACTGCGTAACGCTTTAGAAACAGATCATTCAATTTCATATTCTTTGCAGTCAAATGTTCATACAGCGCTTTAGCAGATGTGACATCTTTATTCACGACTGACAAAGTTAAAGAGGAAAAAAGATATTAATCACAGACAACAACCTATCTTTTTCTGCTCATCCCAACACTTAGCCACTCAGGGATCCTGGATCCCTTTATCCCACGGCAAACAAATACGTACCCACCTTCGGTGAGAAGCTACTCTCGGCATCTCCCAACTCCCTTGCTCCCGTTCCACACCCCTCATTCAGCCTCAGTCATTTTGCAGGAGAAGGAAAATGACATATGTGGCTATATTTAAAGGCCTCCAAGATAATATTAATGGTATCATGTATTTAAGCTATTTTGAAGACTTGTCATAAAGTAACCATAAACTGAAACCCTTAAGCATGAAGTAATACACAACATTCAATTTTCTTCTGCTTAAAACCACACTCTGAAATCAAGCTAATATTCAGGGACTACTGTGTAAGGGCATGGAAATTACGTGGAAATCCACACCAACATCAGTATCAGCAGCTAAACAACACACTATCATTGTGTTTTCTTAGTGTAAAGTAAGCAAATATGGAGAATATAGTTAGCCAGATGACCAAAAATCCCATCGGCAAGGAGGCTGAGGCTGGAGAATCCCATGAGGCCCAGCCTGGGAAACGCAGTGAGACCTGATTGCTGCAAAAAAATAATTAGCTTCATGTGATGGCACACGCCTAAAGTCCAAACTACTCAGGAGGCTGAAGTGGGAGGATCGCTTAATCAAGGTTACAGTGAGCTATAATCATGCCTCTGCACTCCGTCCTGAGAGACAGAGATCCTGTCTCAAAAAAAAAAAAAAAGTACATATATGTTGGACACTGACAAGCTACACCACTATTTCACTCAAATGAATAATGAAACCGCCCAGGAGTAGCCCAAGAGCTAAGTATAGCTGGCTGTCCACTTGCGGCTGATTTACAGAAATTTTTGTTTTAAGTTTACTGTGATTATAAAGGCTGTGCTAACAATTATTGTGGGTAATTCAGCTCTTTAATTTTGCATTAGACTGTTAACATCTAAGCACGAAATAAACCCCTACCGTATAATGACACTGGTTAACCAATCCCAACTTCGGCAGTAGCACAAGGATCCTCCAGGATAGATGTGAGGCGCTTAGTGACTAATTCAATAAAGGCTCTTACTGTTCAGAAGGAAGGACTCCTTTCAAAATATTACTGCTCACTGACAATGCACCTCGTTGCCCAAGAACTCTGACGGAGATGCACAAGGAGGTTAATGTGGTTTAATGCCTACTAACATATATGTATTCTACAGCCCATGGATGAAGGTATAATTTTCAATCATACTACTGAAGAAATAGATTTTGTAAGGCTACAGATGCCACACCTAGTGATTTTTCTGATGGTTCTGGGCACAGTGAATTGAGAACTTGCTAGAAAGGATTCACCATTCTAGATTCCATTAAGAACATGTGTGATTCGTGGGAGGAGGTCAGAATGTCAACACTAATAGAGTTCAGAAGAAGTTGATTCCAACCCTTATTATGTCTTTAAGGAGTGAGACTTCAGTGGAGGAAGTGAAATGGTGGAAACAGCAGGACTAGAATTTCAAGTGGAGCCTGAAGATGTGACTGAACTGCTGCGATCTTATGACAAAAAAGATGAGGAGTTGCTTTTTATGCTTGAGCAAAGAAAGGTGGTTCTTGAGACAGAATGTACTTCTGGTGAAGATGCTGTGATCATTATCGAGATGGTAACAAAAGATTCAGAACGTTACATAAACTTAGCTGATAAAGCAGTGGCAGAATGTGAGAAGATGAGCTCAATTCTGAGATGGGTAAAATACTACCCAACAGCACCGCATGCTACAGAGAAATTGTTCATCAATGCAGCAACTTCGTATTGTCTTATTTTAAGAAATTGCTGCTGTAACCTGAGCCTGTAGCAACCAGCACCCTCATCAGTTAGTAGCATCAACATCCAGACAAGAACCTCCACCAGCAAAAAGATCATGGCTTGCTGAAGGCTCAGATGATTATTGACATTTGTAAGCAATAAAGTATTTTTAAATTAAGGTATGCACACGTTTTAGACATAATGTTATTATGCACTTAACAGACTACAACATGGTGTAAACACAACTTACACATACACTTGGAACGCAAAAATTCACGTGACTCACTTTCTGCATTATCATTTCAAATACACGGCCATCTCCAAGGTCTACTGTATTTAGTTATTTTGGGAAGTTTTGTGAGTATAACTCCATTCTGAAATAGCACCTAGCTTCCCTCATAAGGGTGGAAAAATAGAGAACCAAAACTTACTAACTCCTATTCCTGAGTCTTTTGTCCTGCCAAAAATAAAATCAATGACACAATTCCTTATTTACCCTGTTCCTGCAATTAGCAATCAGTAGATGGTGGGTGGACAGGAGATCACGAACTAGATAGAAATGCTGACATTTATCTTGATCACTGAGGAAAACTTTAGTCTGGTTTCCTTTCATATTGTTTTGTATCGGGTTAAAAGACTAGAATTCCAACTGGGACTTAAGGTAAAACTCTGGGTTACTTTCTAATTAAAGGGTCTACCACTTCAAAGGAGTAGGTAGCCCGAACACTGAAGGAACAAGAAAGCAAGTCAAGCGGGAGTCTCAAATATATGCCTATTTTATGCCACATTTCAGGCGGCAGGCCCTTGGGGAGACTGAATTAGCTTCTAATAAGTAAATCCTATAAGAGGACTTTCAGGTCTTCCCAGGAGCCTGAGATCATACTCAATATACCTAGACTGCTATAAAGACATTCAGTCATATTCTGAACGTTAAAAGTATATGAATATGTTTATATATTTCCTTCATTCTTTTTAAGAGACAGGGTCTAGCTCTGTCACCCAGGCTAGCATGCAGAAGTCCTAATATGATCATAGCCCACTGCAGCCTTCAACTCCTGGGTTTGAGCGATCCTCCCACCTCAGCCTCTTGAGCAGCTAGGATTACAGGCATGTGCCACCATGCCCAGCCCCTTTTTTATTTTTTATAGAGATGAGGTCTCATTATGTTGCTCAGGATGGTCTCAAGCTCCTTGCCTCAAGCAATCTTCCTGCCTTGGCCTACCGAAGTGCTGGGATTTCAGGCATAAGCCATTGTGCCTGGCCCGTATTTTTCTTATACAGTAGAACCTTTGTAAGTTGCTCAAGCGACAGTAACAAACTGGGCAACATAAGGAACTTGGCCTACTGGACTGATACATTATGTGTCCAGTCTATGAAAATTAAGTCAAGTTGAGGTGGTCAGCTATGAAAGTCCTACTGTAAGTAAATTATTTATATCATAAGTAATCATCTGATATTTATAATTATTGCCTTTGAGATACAGACTAAGACTTAGTTGATTATACTATAAATATTTAAATCACTTAAATCATGCAGTCACATTAAACTTATTACCATAGCTTTTCATGAGGGAGGTATACACTATATCCTTTTCAGCCAATTCAGGAATCAATTCTAGCAAAGATCTCAGAGTTGCTGTCTAGGAAACAAAATACAGGTAACATTACCAAAAATACAAAACAGTGGAACACTGATACATAACATTATAGAAAAAAATCTTGAAAATAATTACAACAGAATTGCCTGTTCAATTTAATGAACTGTTTTCCCTCCTGTGTATCTTAGTATTAGATGCTGAGTCAGTGATTTACTGCCACAACAAACCAGCATCTTTTAAAAGTTAATGCAATTCCTTTAATTTTTATGAATATTTTTCTAATACATAATAAACATTGCTTGTTTTTGTCAACCGCTAACTATTCCAAGAAGTTATGCGATCCCAAGGGTAGATGACATAACAATCGTAACTTTGGGTGTCAAAATTTGTTGATGAAATTTGAACAGTTCATTTAAACATTCTTTTCTCCTGTTTGATATATTAACAGAACATTTCTAGGATATCATTAGAATTTTTACTTGATTGCTTCCAGGGATATGTAGGCACAACCATGATTTTATTTCCTGTGGTGAATAAAAAACTGCCATACCCTAATGAACGCTCTAATTGCTGGATCAATCAATGGCGGCTTTATAGACATTTATGCCTTCTTTCCAATTCACCAAAAACAAACCTCAATCTGGCTTAACTATTCTGCTGTCAAATAAGAAAACACTGGAACTGGCATTTTTAAAATCTCAACTCCTTTTTTTCACAAGTTTATTCAATCAATCCATGCCTAAACCTGTATTCTTCCAGGACATTTTGCACTTTGCAGTCTCCTGGAAGGAATGTTCTAAGCAGATTTATTATCATACATTTGCCGTCACATCTCCTGAGCAAGGCGGTAGAACGTGGCCCAGTTCCATATCTGGACTGAGAAGTGCTTTCTAGATTTCTTATTCCTTTTAATCATCTTTTTTTAAAGTCTCATTGAAAGAAAAAAAAGGCAAATAAACGTTGCTTGTAGTAAATAAATACATGAGTCAGAGATAAAAAGCACAATGAGATAAAGTTTTTAATAGTCCCTGTGCCAGATGTGGAGGCTCAGGCCTATAATCTTAGTACTTGGAAAGGCTGAAGCAGGAGGATTGCTATGAGGCTACTGTGCTCCAGCCTGGGTGACAGAGCTAGACTGGCCTCTTAAAAAATAAAAATGAAATGTGTGTGTACATGTAAGAGAGGTACATGGAAATTCAGGAAAACTACACCTCTTAGACTGAAAGCAAATGTTTCAAATAAAACACCCTTACTTAATTTGAAACATTGTAAAGTTTCCCAAAAAACTAAGAATACAGTTTCTAGTATAGAACAAGTAAAATCAGATCTAAAATAATTTTATTGAAATATGCTTTTTAAAATTAAATTTGCTTTTGTTTGCTTTTAGATAAGAGTCTCACTGTGCCGCCCGAGCTGGAGTGCCACGGTGTCAGCCTGGGTCTCCTGAGCAGCTGGCACACTATAGGTACCCACCACCAGGCCCAGCTAATTTTTTCTTTTTTTTTTTTTACTAGAGACAGGATCTCACTCTTGCTCAGGCTGGTCTCAAACTCCTGAGCCTTAGGGATCCTCCTGTCTTACCCTCCCAGAGTGCTAGGATTACAGGTGTGAACCACCACTCCTGGTCTGAAATATGCTTTTATTCTTTCTGTTAAACATCAAAAATACCTACCCCTTTTATAGTATGAATAAATTAACTGTCATATATGTTATTACGTTATGTTAATTTGTGGCAATATACGAATTTTAAAGCCAAATGGCTCCTCTACCTTATGAATTTATAGCTAATCAATGGTGAAAATTAGGCAGCCAGTGGGAGACACTGTGCAGTGCTAGGCCTCCCTGGGCAGTGCGTCTGCATCACTAAACGTACCAAGGGGACCTGAGCAATGGGGTTTTTATCTTCCATTTCTAAAGGCCCTCTCCTGGGACTCTCAATGTGGACCTATTCACTGCACGAACTTGTTTCTAGTACAACTAAGGAGCCAAAACTGACTCTGTAGCACCATCAACAGGCACAGACAAGCAAAATCTTCAATCTCTACAGCGTTTTCAGTTAAGGTCCTAAACCAACAAGCTCTTATGTTAAACTCAATACTCTTGAGCAAGACATTTATAGCATCATTGATTTGTTCGCAAATAAAACACAGTACCTTTCCTTCTGTCCCAGAATTCCTAACAAAAAACACCAAGAAAATTGGGACTTGTTCAGCAATGGCACCACATCTCTAAAAATTAAAACATTATTCAGTAAGTGAAGGTTTGTATAAACAAGCAGATCAAGGTGAATATTTCCAATTAAGAAAGTTCACAATAAAACAGTACTGTATCATTACCAAGAGGAAGGCCTAATAGTTGACCATTATTTTTGGAGGCAAGAAAAAAAAAAAAGAAAAGAAAACAAGCGCAAGCCATGCCAAGCTTCAGGGAATGCTGTCCTTGGCACCGCAAGTGTAAAGTTTGTTTAAAAAGAACAGGGAAAAATCAAACTAATGCTTCAACAACCATAGAATAAGGTTTAGGACTGCAAAGAAAGAGGGAAAAAAGAAACACTATTCCTCTCCAATTATACTGCCAAGCATTCACAAGTGAGCTAGGGATCATAAGGTTAATTATACATTTAATAAGGTGTCAGGGAGATAACTGCTCGTTTCTTTATAAAAATTAAAATGTACAAAGCAAGTTCTCTTTAAAGTATAATTACCTACACTTATGCATACAAAAGGACTGATTTCAATCTCTCTATTTTATAAAAGGCTTTCATTGCAACAGACAGCCAGTGCTTGAGAAAGAGACAAAAGTTAAACTAAAAAAAAAAAAAGTTTATATGACAGACCAGATAAATCAAGTGTCTATCCAATCTTAGATGCTATGGTAAAATCAAATATGGCAAGACAATATTTTAGTTTACACTCATCATAGATGTCATTCTCTTAAGTTTCTAAGAGCACACTGTTCTCTGAAAGCTTAAAACACTGTCAATTCTAAAACGAATGGTATAAAAAGAACTTTTGGGGACCCACAGAACATTTACATTATAAACTGATGCTTTCGACATCTGTGAATAAAGTGTTCTTCACTGCAGCGAGAGTAATCTTTTACTGTTTGACAAGCAGGTAAAGGATGGGTGAAGGGTTTATCATCTGAAACCCCAGTCTGTTGAAGGGGTGGTAAATGAAAAGACTGCTGCTGTTGCATCAATACTCGGCTGCCACTGGGAGCCCTCTGGTGCGGGCACTGTGGGTGAACGCAGCTCTGGGCAGCAGGCGCCATTCCTGCTATCTCCCGTCTAGGATCCTGTCAACTGTGTGCTCTCAGAAGGGCCTTGATGGTTATAGCTCAGAACAAGCTGGCAGATGAAGTACCAAGTACTTTCTACATAACTATCAAAACAATGAGTTACAACAGGATGACTCCTGTCACATAAATAATTAGGTACCTATATGCTCATACCCCTGGTAAGTACTTGGATATGTACACATAAAAATAAAGCATAAGAGTATATTCCTTTTTTCATATAGAATTCTGAACACTAAAGGCAGCAAAATAATAAAATTACTTTGAAATTCCTATCATAAATTGCCTTTTTCTAAAAAAAAAAAAAAAAGGAAAAAATAAAAACAAACCAAAAGATAATTCCCAATAAACTGGAATTCTCTCTATCTAGGAACAAAAGTAAAAGACCATACAAGCAGTGCCAATTGACAATTTTTATGTAACTATTAACACAGACAAAAACTTTTAAGAATTCCTTTTTAAAAATGGCTTAGATTTTATCTTCAAATTAGATTAACTTTCAGGATCAAAACTAGAGCTCAAGCAAATGGGTGCAGTTGTACCTTCCCTCTCTACTTAAGGTATTTCACGGCTGGGAAAAATGTAACTGAATATACTACTATTTACTATCAGAAATTGGTCCCAGGCCTCAATTTGACACAGGGAGTCTACACAAACACAGCCGTTGGCGGGATCATGGTGACTGTTTGACTGCCACCTGCTGGGATGGGGCTCCCCAGCGGTGCCTGTTTGTGTACATTGCCAGTGGCAGCTCCGATCACCCACCGTTCTGTCGGCACTTGGCGTAGCTTTATATTTAGTGCTGTTAAAATGGCATGAATGCAGTTGTCTCCTTCCCTGAAGATTGCTAATTTAACTGAGAGTGCGGGCCACAGAGACCTGCATTTGTCATTTAATGTGTCTGTGACACACAAGTGAATAGAAAGCAAATTCAACTCTTAATAAGCCTTGAATAAGGCACCAAGAATGTTTGAGCATTCAAGTGAGAAGCTGTACTTGAAAAGCAAATATTTCCTACTTTTTGTTTGCAAACTGTGTTGCCATGGCGATACATGGTATTTAGAGCATTCAAGAAATTAAAGTAGGAAATCAAAGGAATTGTTTTGTGTTACCTATCTGCAAAGAAACATTTGTCTTTAAATTGTCTCAGCAAACCCCACTGCCCCCTCAACCCTAATGCAAAGGACATTTTTCTTCTGATCTGTCATCTGTAAAACCAGTGACCTATAATCTGTAATCCAGTCATTGTCATACAACCTTGATTCACACTGAATTTAAATGTGTTAGCAGCATCTCACTTCATTTCCGATACTCCACATCTATGTCTAGTAATTTCTCAATTGACTTCTCGCAAGCCGCACGCCCCACTGCTGCATGAGTGGAGGGCTGTTACCTGTAGGAGAGCTCTGGCATCGTCTACCTTGCCTGCATCCACAAGCTGAAGGAAAAGGTCAGTGACAGGTTTGTAAATTGCAAACTGATTGGCCAGTCTCTCTGCCATGATGCTTACTGGAAAAATGACAGGTAAGAAAAATTTCTCGTTAAGACCATGTGTAGCATAACTCACCCCCCAGAGATATTCAGTTCAGTCTCACCAGAGAGACAATGCGCTTTCTGTGTCCTTTAGCATAAAAAGCTGACTTACTCTTTTCAACTGCTGTTTCCAACTGCTCTTCTAACACTTTTTTGAATAAGTATGCCAAGCCAAAGTACTGGGGTTCCACAGGTGGACTCCCTGAAGTAAGCAGATTTTCAATGTTCTCTATTGCAACATCTATGTTATTGCTGTAAAAAAAAATGCAAAATAAGTTATGAAAACTATTTGCTTTTATATTAGTTATTATAGGCAGTATCAGGATGAGGGCTTAGGAGAATCTACCACCCATGCAAATACTCTGGGAGAAACAAGAAATACATTTACAATGAACCAGATAAAAACACGCAACTTAACGCAATCACATTTAGGTAACAAAGCCATCACTTAAGTGGTTCATGCTACGGTGGTTGTTTAATTCATAGCAGTTGAAATAGTTGCTTATTTCAAAATATTGCTCTAGAGACAAGGTCAAACAACTACATATAGGACAATAATGAAAATAACAAAAGATACTATACCTTAAATATTGTATTTAGTTTTGCAGCTCTTTAGATGTAAAACGAAACTTGTTTAAATAATAATGCTGTGATTTTGGCTTTATGACCCACTAGTCACTACTGCATCAAGTAAATATACAGTATCTCATGATTTTTAAAGGTATATTTGCATGTCTTTAAGCCGTATCAGTTTCTTTTTGTCAGGTATTATACCTTGGAAGATACTCCTTTTATACTAAAGTTCTCCAAAAAAAGTATCTTCGGACTTTATTTAAAAAAAAAAAATCAATCACATGGCCTTATTTAATATGTTAACTTTGATCTTTATGACTGTCTTTTTGGTTAATCTATAACTGATTACTTTAGAATTATAATATGGCATTCGAAATCCAATTAATCAATATTATGTTGAAATTATTACATTAAATATAAAAATTCTCTAATTAAAAATGAATACCCTCTGTTATAGTAAATTCTTCTCATGGGTTTCAAAGAATTATTTCATGGTGAATATATTCTCCACATCATATAAACCTGTGTTTATATGTTAATATTTTAAAATTCCTGCAGCTCTTACCTCAATAATTTCTTCAGTTTTCTAGTTTAAAACAATCATATTTTCTTTCTTTTTTTTTTTTTTTACATTTTGAATATTTAGTAGTTTTGGGGGGGTGGAAGGGGAAAAAAGATCACTTCTAGTCATACAAATGCTTTAAATTTTGCACATACTCTTATAAATAATGCCAAGTTACCGAAGCCTAACATTTTTCAGTCTCTACAACAAGAAAAATTAATCAACAAAATACAGTTTTAGAGCCTACATATTTAAAGGGATTAGTTAAAACTTGTTTTTACCAAGACTATGGCAAGAACAAAAAGGAATTTGCAACTGTGCAAACAAACACTAAAGGGTCCTGGGTGGCGGGGCCCTTTGTGAACCAGTTTAAAAGCTGTATCAATATGTAGCTACTCTAAAACCCAGGAACCTAAACAATCATATTTTCTAATTAAAGGGAAGTCCCATTTGGGAAATTGTTTTAAAAGATAAAAGCAAAACAAATGTAAATGTTTCTCTGATCAAAGAAATAGGAAGAACAAACAAAAAACCCAGCAAAAACATTGCATTTTAGTATTATGTCCCATTAATTAAATGTATGTAAGATTGACTATAAACACTTAAGAGAGCCGAATTCCATAACTATCCCCATGAATCTTTAACTCGAGCCTAGCACTCTACTAGTGAGGTTAGTAAAAACCAAGTCCTGATTTACTTATTCAGTGGTGAGTCTCACAAGGATCTAAAGATGGTGGTAAGAAAATCAATTCCAAATGCCTCTTCTCATGGTGAGTGTGTGTGTTGATGGGTGGAAGGGTAGGGCAAATTTCAATGCCTGTTTTTAACAAGCTTCCAGGGCCCTCTATTTCATAACATTCTAATGGAATATCATTTTCAAATTGCTGACAAGCAAAGAAGATGATTTTTCACTTTCTAACAACGTGCTCTAACAACAAGAGGCCTGGCATGCGTATGTAGGAATGAGAAAAGTTAACAACTGCAGAGTAAGATTTGTAAATTTGATTAAGTGTTGTTTATTCAAGATTTATTTAATGATAAAACACATTTTCCAACGTATAATTCTTCTCCAATAAGTAATTATCAACAAACTAATGTCAAAATTTCCTCTGTAGATGAAATGTTTTCCAAATGCCTGTAAGTTTTTAATAGGTGTGTTTGAAATAATGCTCACTCCAGTGGCCAGCAGAGGAAAAGCTCAAAAATATACTTACTTCTTTATTTGTGCCAAAGCTATGTTATTGATGAAAACCATTTCTGAAAGTCCAATTGTGTTTTCAAGTCCATTTATCATCACCTGAATTGCTTCTATGCTTTCTATATCACCCTTCAAGCCCAAGGCCTGGATAAGGCGGGTCACGGCTAACCGAGAAGGGATCTGCTTCAGGTCCAAGGCTGTTTTAAGTGTTGTTAGAGCCTCTAAAATAGAAGAGCAGAACACAGAGTTTTTCTTATGTGACCTGTGTTGACTTTAATGGATTTCAAAAGCCAGCTTTTAAATATGAGCACCCAAATGGCTATACACAAATCCTATGAATAATTAATTCTAGATTATAGAAAATATTAATACTTGATAAGAAATTTTAAAAATTGATTTATTTCACTATCTATAAGATACTAGACACCCCAGAAAATACAAATGCCACTGACAAAATGCCCTCCATTCAGGAACACATTTACTGACTAATTTCAAGAACCTTGACAAGTTCAGAGAAATACACATATAAGGAAGAATTTTAAAAATTAAAGAGTTTCAAAAAATATGTAGCTGATACCCACATTCGTACTTTCCTGGATTTTATTAACTCAAAGATTACATGATGATCAAAAACTTCTAATATATCAGAGATTCTTTGCTGAACATAAGCTCGCTCTCTAGTCCAAACAGATCAACCACACAGGAACATTCAACTTTCACGTTAACAAATTATTATTTTTTGTTTGTTTGTTTGTTTTAGAGACAGAATCTCACTTTGTCGCCCTCAGTAGAGTGCCGTCACATCACAGCTCACAGCAACCTCCGACTCCTGGGCTTAGGCTATTCTCTTGCCTCAGCCTCCTGAGTAGCTGGGACTACAGGAGCCTGCCACAAAGCCTGGCTATTTTTTTGTTGCAGTTTGGCCTGGGCCAGGTTCGAACCCACCACCTTCGGTATATGGGGCCAGCACCCTACTCACTGGGCCACAGGCGCTGCCCTAACAAATTAATTTTATATGATTAGACACCTTGTAGTTATTTTCTAGCACTCATTTTTTAAAGGCAAAAAACAGCCCATCAATTCCCATAACATAGATGGCCCTCAATTTAACAATTTTTCAAGTCTACAATGGGCTTAAAGGGGCAATAAATACACTTTTCAACTTATAATGAGTTTACTGGGATACAATCCATTGTGAGTGGACAAGCATCTATATAACCAATGGAGTTTTGCTGGTGTTTTTAAAGTATTGTAATTATAAGTACAAAAACTATGGAATATCCTTCCAATTTACTGATTTCTGGAATTATAGTGAACTCATTATATTAAATAAAGTGGTAGATGGGGGGGATCTAATATTCAGAATTTAATAACCACCATTACTAAATAAAACATCATAGCTTTCTAGCAACCAAAGCAATGTAATCCAGACAAAACTAAGACTCTCCAAACAGCCTTCCACATAATAATAGCCTATCTTTTGCAGAAGAGTGGGGAAAGGGTATCAATTAAACAGTCCACTAAAAACAGTACAGTAAGAGAAGTAATGAATTTAGTGTTCATTACTGAATAAATAATTTATAATTACTCCAAATTTACAAATAACCTAAGGCCAATAATTCTCAAATGGGGAAGAGGAAAAAGTGTTAAAAAGCGAACTCAATAAAATTTTATGAAGGCACATGCACATATAGGAAATCAAAAATGTAGACTATTTAAAAAATATTAATTTACAGAAAATAAGCTCAGTATCTTGTTAACTGGTAATCATATACAGATAATTAGCTTTGGAATATTCTTATTAACCAAGAATATGTTAGCCAGTGAATCAAAATAATAATAAAAAAAAATATGGTGAAATGGGAACACATACTTACTGTCTACCACATTTGTCAAGCCTTTACTATATACCAGTACCAGGCATAGCCCTGAGCAACTACACTTCTAACTACTCTTCTGAGGTAAGTTCCCATTTTACAGATGAGACATTCAGGCAGAGATTAGCTTATTGGTTCAAGGTCAAGGTCACACTGTTAGATGAGATCATCCCAGAGCTTAGTCCATGGGTACACGATACAGTAGAGGAGGGAGGAGAACAGATCACTGTGTGTCTACCCAAAGGCAGGTGGGACCTTGTGGCCTAAATCACATCCTCACACAGGGATTGCCTTTGTATAGTAATGACTTCAAAGACACCAGAAATGTTAGTTATCCACACCCTTCCCCACAAGTCCTTTCCCACTGTCACCCAATTCTAACACTCGATTACTCACTGATGGTACGGATAATATGAGTTCCGCACAGGTGCAGCATACCTTAGCTATTAACAGGCTATGATAGTATTAGTTTATAAAATTACTTCAAGTTTAATTGGCTTTTTCTTCCTGCTTTAGATGATGTAAAAACAAAACAAAACAAATAAAAAAGAAACCTGAAAGACAGAAGTGCAGAAGAAGGGGATTTTAAAAATTAGGAGCTCTAGTCAGCCACGGAACAAAAATAAGGAGATGGGAATAGGGCCAACAACCTCCCCAACATCCCCCTCCTTGCTGATGATCACTTTACTCTAAGGAGATGTCTGTTCACGGTGATGCGGGGGGTGGGGTTGGAGCTGGAGGACCTAGTAGCGAACAGTTGTGGCTCCTGTTCTCAGACAACCTCCAGTGTGGATGAGTGGCTCAGAAGAGCAGACAAGAAATTACATCGCTTACTCTCTTGTAGTTTGCACAGGCACCTAACACACAAGTACAAGGTAGCAATAAAGTTAAACAAAGTCAAACCAGATTCAGCTAAAAAAATCGATGACCTGTAATTTAAAAAGTGTGCTGTTTTTATCTCCATGTCTACAGAAAATATAAGCTATTTATGACAATGAACTTAATCATCTATGTGGGGAGCAAGTTTAATTTTTTTGTTGTTTTGAAACTGATCATCATTTTACTATATAAAATACCAACTTGACAAAGTCTTTTACATTGGAATAAAATAAAACCTTTTAAAGTTTTAATAACAAACCCTACACCACTCAATTATGACTGAAGGTTATCAAAAACGACTGTTGAGATGGGTTGGCCCTGCCTGTGGAATGATAAGGTAGAAACTTTACAAAGGCAGAAATCACCACTTACATATTCAGCCCCAAACCATTAGGAGGACCACTAAAAGATCAGCGCGTTTAGATATTATAGGCAACACTAACGCTGCACAATTAGACAGCAGCTTCTTCTTCGGGATGTAAAATTACCTTATAAGCATGCAAATGAGGAAAACACCATTAATACAGACTGAGGAAGCAACGAGATATTATTTAACAGTTAAGAGAGCTTCTTCAACTGCCTAAAGATCTCCGAAGTGGGTTTTGTTATATTGGCAAAACTGCACTGTTACTGAGTAAAATTCAAATGTAAAGCTTAACATGAAAAACTACTTACCAAAATTTAAGACATTCATCATTTTCCCTCTTGGGAGCTCATTCATGAGACCTCCAGATCCACATCTACCCCACTGCCAACCCATAACAGCCTCTAACGAACCAACAGCCCTCATCCCAATCCTCCCCCAAAGTCATCTCCACATCTGTCTGGTGTTATCCTCTTAATGTTAATTTTGAAACTCTAAACTTCAAACACTGTTATCTTACTGCTGTTGGTATTATGAACTATTAAAAAAGTATTAGATTAAGTTTTAAAAATCAATATTATAATCATTTGGTGCACAATCCCACACATTTAACACTCAATTTAACTCATTTGCTATCTCACACAAAACCAACACAATGTGCAAGAAACAACTGCTGGGAATTGTTTCAGATGCTCTAAAGTATGTTAATTTCCAAAGCAAAATGACTTGTGCTGTGAATTTTAACGCACTTGAAAGCCTGTACTTTCTCTCGTTCTGGAACACAAATTTTGCATGTCTGAAGAGCTGTGATTCATCTTAAGAAAACCCATCTTGTGTTAAATGGAATGGAAACTGGACTAAGTGGTCAAATGACAAGTACATTCATATTCAAGCTGTATTATAAATGCATGTACAGTAATTTACGTCTCTCAGCTACCACAAAAGGCTCTTGATAAGCAGGTAATTTGCTAAATGGACTCCTTTATCCAAGTATTCGAAGGGCGTTACAAGAAAAATCTGCAGAGGCATTAATGTGACGTAAAGGTCAAGCATTGTGACATACCTTTCAAATAATCCCGCCTAACTTGCGTTATGATGAGGAGGCTGTTGGCAGCATCGTTCAGTGTGAAGCCCTTGATGTGGGTCTCAGCACTAAAAGAAGCAGACATTTAGAAAGGAATTACTGACATGCTTCTGATACGATAATAAATGGTTGAGCGCCAAGGTGAAATTATAAAAACTACTGTTCGTATGTTAAAAATATTGCTGCAAAATATCGACCTGGAGACAGCTTTTGTGTTATCCTGTCAATGGTTATAGAAGGATAATTTTTTTTTGCATTCTGACAGATGACAAAGTTGGAAATGAGCAACAAAAGAAACAAAGTACAAGATTTTTTTTAAACAATCGGTTCGGATTCTTGAATGCTGACATACGAGATGACTAAAATAACTGCGTGCCCTGCATTGTTCTGCTGGATCCTGCGCAGGATACTTTCTCCTCTTTTTTCTACATTCACCATAATTATAAAATGTAAAACTATTCTTCCAACAACACAAATGAACACTTATTTTCAGCCCGGTATATTTTAAATATAAACTAAAGCATATTACTAACTAATACCATATCATTTTGGCTGATTAATTTTCAAATTTCTGTCATCTAGATATATACAGTTCTGAAAGTGGAAAATAATGCAGACCTACAACCGTTCTTACTTTAAAATTAAAAATTTCATACAATCTTGTCCTCGTCTTAAATTTGAAACAAAACCCAACTTTTTAAAACTCGAGTACTAAACATCACTTTACCAAATACTAAAACTCACAGGATTTTAAAGAGCAAAGCAAAACAAAATAAAACAAAACAAAAAACCCCCCAAACACTCCCAAACCTAGCCGGGGATGGTTTTTGTTTGCCACAGTGTTTCACATCTCCTGTGATGAAATTCCAGCATTCTCAATGCCCCCGGGGGTTCATCTCCCGGATTAGAAAATCTAAACAGGTCAAAAGGAGCAAAAGGAATTGCTGCCATTTGCCTTGTCGAGCTCGGTGATAACCCTGCTGCCAACAACCTCCTGGCTTGCCAATACGTACACGTAAACTGAGCAGATTGCGAGGAAAGCAGGGTCACCGCTAAATTATTCTCATCAATCCCAAGAAAATCCTCCAGAAACACCGTGACATGCCCATCCTCTCAGTCACTTTCAGCCTCTAAGGTTCACCCCTGCAGTCCCTGGACACAGGATTTTCTTATTCCCCCACCAATCCCCTTAATCCCCCCAAAGCACCCATTGCTCAGTTTGACTTTTTTCCTTTGTCCCATCTGTCAAAGCTCTTAAGTCAACAATTCATGCAAGAGACTATAAATTGCATAAAATAAAGGATTTACTTTCTCAATCTTAAGCATGATTAAATAAAAATTAGACACTGTTAAAAGCTTGCTTCTCATGCCAATATTATATGTATTACATCATATTTATTTAAAAAAATATTTCCTAAAATCAATTAAAAGCACAAGGTAATAAAACTACTTTTAACTGACATTAAGCATGGACTACAAACCTTTTGAAAACCTCAAAACACATTATCTTTCAATAATCTCTTCCTATCTCCAGAAGGTGCCTATTCATTGTAAACATGAACAGTGGAGATAAAAACTAGGAAGAAAAAAACTTCCATATCTATTATATCGGAATATATCACCACATACGTAGAAACTGACAAATCACAACTAAATATATTCCAAACTGGGACAAGGGGGAAAATTACAAAAAATTATTGGTAGAGATCTTTGCATTGGAATCATTGATACAGTACAATAAAGTACATTTACTTTTGACTCTTAATTTTGATCTTTCCTTTTGGAAAAGATCTAGTATAGAGCTGTCAAGCCAGCTGTGACAAGGGGAATATTCCTTTTCTGTGCTAACAGGGTCACTCACTAACATGGCTACTCTGACGATGGAACAGAAATCTTAACTGTACCTAAATCTTAATTAATTTAAAACGGTCACGTATGGCTAGTGGCTACCGAACTGGATAAAGAAGAATTCTAGACATTTTCTTTCTATTTTTAGAACTGTTAAATAAAGGGGGAAAATTATAGGGGAAAGAGTATCAATCTTTGCACTTATGATCAACTGCAAAAATTAAACTATCTTAACCAAAGAAGATAGTATTACAGCAAAAGTTCCACATTAGATATTTCAGAGCAATGAGCAGTCTACGGATTATGCACACAAGACATTAGTCAGTGATTATAAATTATTTCAGTAGAAACCATCAGTGACAGATTTAGTATTATTTCTAGACAGAATGAAATAGAAAGCCAGTAGGAACAAGAAAAAAGATAAAGCAGAACTGCTGATTCCCAAATTCCCTAAGAATACAGTTTAGTGTTCTCAGAGATTTAAAATAACACATCTTTTACTGCTCTTTGAATAAGCAGTTTTACTCCCCTGCAAGAATTCACTATGGAAAAATTATTTTGAAACATGAAGAAATTAAAGATTAAAGAAAGTTAGTTCCTTGAAAATTTTTAAAAGGATGTTGTTACTATTCGTTTTTAGATTCCATGACTTGCTGGGAAGTTGAAATGATCTCATTATTAGTGGAATAGAAGAAATCTCATTAGAGAGCAAGTGCATCCATAACACTAAATGATAGCAGAGGCAGAATGAAAACAAAAATGGCACGTGTTAGATTATAGGAAAACTATGGCTCTTAAATGACATTATATAGGTTACTGCAACAACAGACTGACTGCTATTTATGAATTGAGAATAAGATCACCAGAATAGTAGGAGATACTGCCACTTGAGACAGGAGCTCAGTTGGTTACCACATTATAGTAAAAATTATCTATGGGAAAAAACATCTTTTTTATGCTGATCATTGACACAGAGCTAATAGGGAAAAGATGAGTGACCTTGTCTAGTGGTGGCAATAAAGTAGGAGATGAATCCAGAGAATACATCCTAATATGCTTCAAGTAACATTATTAGTTGGACAACTAGAATTCAAACTGATTATTTCTGTATTTCCAGTACAGGGTTCTTTTCAAAAGTATACATCATAGATGTAACCAAGAAATGATTCTGCATCGTTAGATATAACAATTCATTGGTTTAATGGAAAGGACACACACCTAACACTCAGACTGACTTAAGGCTTTGGATCTAGGATTCTCCTGGGCTCACACAGCCACATGGGGAAGACAAGTACACGATAAGCCTGGTGTGATAACACAGCTAAAGTGTCCTTAACAGTAAAGAAAATCTCACTCACATGTGGAATCTAGAAAGCCAAACTCAGAAGTAGGAAGTAGAATGATGGTTCTCAGGGGCTGAGAGGAGGGGAAATGGTTAAAGTGTACCAAGTTTCAGTCATCCAAGTTCTGTAGCTCTATACAATTTAGTGCCTATAGCTAACACTGAACTGTATGTTTAAATTGCTAAGAGGGTAGATTCTCAATGTTCTCATGTGCGCCCCCCCATTATAATAATGATACAGATAATGGGAGGAAACTTTGTAAGGTGATGGTTATGGCCTTGATGGTGATGATGGTTCCACTGGTGTATACTTATCCCCAAACTCATTGAGCTATTTACATTAAATATCTCACTCTGTTGTCTGAATTAGAGTGTATGGGCTGACTGCATCTTGAAATTCCTAGACCATCGTCCTGCCCCAGACTCCCAAGTAGCTGGCGTATACCACTACGCCAGCTAAATTTTCTTTTCCGTTTTTTGTCTTATACAGACATCATTTCAATATATAACTCAGGCTTGTCTTGACCTCTTGGCCTCAAGTGATCTTCCCGCCTCAGCCTCCCAAAATGCTATTACAGGCATGAGTTACCATGTCCAGCCTGTATCATCTTTTTATATGTCAGTTATACTTCAGAAAGGCTTCATGAAGATCTAGAGAGGACGGGAAGAAGATTTTAAAGGTTGTGAGTATAAGGGGAACTACAAGGGCCATGCTGATAACTATCTTCTAGCTCAGCAGCTTTCAACCTTGTTAGATCAATAGCCACAGGGAAGTATAGTAAGAAATTATGTTTTATGCTACAACCCAATGCAGAGATGTCTACATATACTCATAATTGAAATCAGTCATAAAATAAAATCCTTTTTTTTTTTTTGAGACAAAGCCTCAAGCTGTTGCTCTGGGTATGGGTAGAGTGCCGTAGCATCACAGCTTACAGTAACCTCCAACTCTTGGGCTTAAGCGATTCTCTGGCCTCAGCCTCCCAGTCCCTCCTAAGCCGGGACTACAGGCGCCCACCACAACACCGGTTACTTTTTGGTTGTAGTTGTCATTGTTGTTTGGCAGGCTCGGGCTGGATTCAAACTCGCCAGCTCAGGTGTATGTGGCTGGCACCTTAGCCGCTTGAGCTACAGGCGCTAAGCCCACAGGATAATAACTTTATTACATGAAGTTCTGTATTTCCTATTCTATTGCTTTAAAAAAAAATACTGGTTCTGTTCACTAAAAATATCCCATGGCCTACTAATTGGTTACAATTCTACAGTACGGAAATCACTCTAGATTGGAGCTCTTCAATGGAAGGCACGTACGCCACATGAATACTATAGAGTGAGGCCAAGAAAATTTTTAGTCTCTTTTTTTTTTTTTGAGACA